TATAAATGGATTAAACTAACCCATCAAAAGTTATGCTGAATGGATTAAAGAAATTAAAGAAGATACAGATAAATGGAAAAGCATGCAACGTTCATGAACATTTCCCACTTGCAGGAAATTCTACTAATTCTGCATCATCACCTTCTCCTCAGTGAACCATCTCAAGCAGAGTAACACATCCAGACTAGTGTTATCGAATTATCAAATTGAGAAGGAAGAGTTCCAGAATTTGACAGTTCTTAACACTGACAAGATGGCTGCTATCTGCTCCTAGAGCAGTATGCTTTTAATGGATACAGGCATGAAATGTCAAGAGAGAAAAAACTAAACCCTTTAACCTAGACAACAGTTTAGTGAATTAAAAGCTCAATCTGGGCTCAAGAGGTCCCAGAGAAAAAGAAAATCCCAAGTGTCTGAACCATAGTATCCAGTATATCAAATTTTGTTCCACTGGACTACAGCAGGAAACAACCTCTTTGTTGCCTGGGAAAAAATTCCAAGACAGTGGTATTTTCTGACAAGTATGATCTTAAAACCATTCCTTACAAGTAACAGTTCTCCATAGCTGCTTCCTTCTGCAAAGAAGGAACACAAGCCACTCAAGAGAACATCCAAAACTACCGAAGAAAGACATCGTGAAAGACATTGGTTCATCATAACCTATGAAGGAGGACCTGGGATTTCTGAAAGCTCTCAATTTAGCCCTTGATTAGAGCATAAAAATTAAGAAAGTGCTGTCGTTTCTAGCTGCCAAGTTCAGCCCCCTTTTTTTAATATTTAATTTTTAGTTGTAGTTGAACACAACATCTTTATTTCACTTGTTTATTTTTGTATGTGGTGCTGAGGATTGAACTCAGGGTCTCGCACATGCAAGGCGAGGGCTCTGCCGCTGAGCCCCAGCCCCAGCCCAGTTCAGCCCCTTTTAAGAAAAAGCATGTGTAGAATCAAAAACAACAAAACCTTCCCCAAGATTAGCACCTCCTTTTGGTGATGTAAACTCAGATGATTCAGGGACTCTTTTTGAAGCCTTGGAGTTCATGAATACAGCTTCTTTAAAGTCAGAGGCTGTGGGTGCAAAATAATGGAGACTACTGGAGGTCCAAGCAAACTGACTAATAGATGCAGGGAGAGGACAACTATGACATAGCCAGATGGGGGTAAACTGAGAAAATTGTTATATTTTGAATCAGATGAAACTGAATCAAAAGATCAAGAACGTTTGATTAGGTATCTAAGTGATAGTGTCATACTGACATGAATCTAAAATTGACCTTATCCCTGACAACTTGGAAAGAAATTAGCAGAATGGCCCGTCTCTGTTCTACCTTCACCTCTCTGTTGCTCCTGAAAGAAATAGTTAGAAGTGATATATCCAGGCTGAACTGGAGAAAGGGATCCTCCAGAACCTGTTCCCTAACAAGAAGAGTCCTCATAAGCCTGATCCTTAGCCCAATGAGCCCAGATCCCTTGAGTCAACTCCCCCAGAAGAAGAGTGTTCTGTGGATATGACACTGTATGTTAAGACCCTGGAAACAGGTGTCAGGTGTCCTCTGATAAGCCTGATAACTATAACTTGTCTTTTGTTCTGGCTAATTTTGAGGGGAACATGGGTATTGGGAAGAGCTTAAATGGCTCTAGAGAACCTCCTTCTCCAAGCAAATGCTGTTGACACATGAATTTCTAAGCCTTGGACTAAAAACTGAACTTTTCCCACCAAGAGACCCTGGAAAACTCAAGGGCATGTGGCACTTCCCCTTGGCCCTAAAGAACCTAACTCAAAGGAGTCCATGGAGACATTGGTGGTCCCAGTAGGCAATTGATTCACATTTCCTTCCTCCTGGGGGTGGGTGATCCCTTCTGGGGTTAGTGACACCATACAGGATAGTCTCATATTGGGGGAGGGAGAGGTAGTTTCTAACCAAGTCCTGGATTAAAGGCCATAGTAGACAAGGAAGAAATAAACTCCATTCTGAGGTCCACGGGAATTCACTCTGGAGTACTATCAAATGTCGCAGAGGATGTGGAACAACTGGAAGCTTCATTGCTGATAGAATGCAAAATGGTATACACTCTGGAAGAACATGGTAATTTCCTATAAAATCAAACATACACTCATAACCGACTCAAAAATCTCACTCTGGGGTATCTACCATAAAGCAGTGGATCTCAGGGGAAGTGATTTTGTCCCTCAGGGTTATATCCTGAAATATTGTTCCTTTGTCGAAAATATGAGATGGTATGCTACTAGCATCTAGTGAGTAGGCCAGCTATGTTGTTAAACATACAATCATGTGCATGAAAATCACCCCCACAACAAATAATTATTTAGCACAAAATATCAGTGCTAAGTTAAAAAACCTTTTCCTAGAGGAAAACCTATGTAATATAAAATGTAATATAAAGCCATAAAATAATATATAGCTCTTTTAAGAACTGTCAAAAACTCCAATTAATCCTAATGTCTTTCAACATGTAAATGGAAAAACAGATTAATCTATCTATACAATGGAATATTACCCATAAATAAGAAAGAACAAACTATATTAATACACAACAATTTGAATGAATTCCAAGACATCATAGTGAATAAGAAAAGTCAGTCTCTAAAAGTGACATACTAAATGATTCATTTCTATAACATTCTACATGCTTTTAATGGCCTCTAGTAGAATTTTTCCTCTGACATCACTCACAGTACAAAATTTTGTGAGGAAATTTGTCCCCCAATTCTGGGGGTGGGTGGGTGGATAGGATTTTTGGGTGGGAAATTTTGGGGGGATCATTGTTTTATTTTTTTGTCTTATATTTTCCCACCTATTTATATATTAGATAGCTGGATCTATAATATTTCAAAATAACCCTACAGCAGGAGCTTCAGAGAAAGTATAAAAGTGTCACTCCTCCTATTCCCTACATATTGGCATCAGTTTTGTCTTGGTGATAGTGGGATCCCATTCCACACGTTCCCAGCAGGTGTGAGCAGAGTGTCAATGGGAGGAAACTTGGCATCAGGGGACAGAAGACTAGGCACTGCCTCTCCATGCCACCTTGAAATCTTTGCTCATAGGTAAGGAATGTGGCAGGCTGCCCTCTAAGGAAATGTACTGCCCAAACATCTTCAAGCAGATCATTCAATATATTGCATGGGATTTACTAGTATGTCTAGTATGTGTATGTTTTTCTAACATACACATTTTCCTGGAAGGCATTAAAATTCCCTCATTTGAAATGTAACCATTTGAGAGTCTTGAGGGACTCTGATGATGTGTTATAAGACAGGCTGCAGCATCCAGGGCACAAATAATAGTAAAAGGCCTAGCCTGGACTCTGGGGAAAGTTTTATGTGAGGAGATAGTCACTGCTCGCTGGTACCACTGAAACAACACGAAGAGATGCACTGGATTCCATTCAGACTTGGGCAGTGGCGTTGAAAACAGCAGTATACTTCCTTCAGTGAGAGACTTCAGTGAATACTAATTGGAGCCTGTCAGTAATAATTGCTGATAGTTAAAATAAATAAATAAATAAATAAATAAATAAATAATTAAATAAAAGCTTTGTTTTAATCTTTAAAAATTAAAGAAACAAAAATCCCTTACTGAGTTTGTGAGCAACCATCCTTCATATAGTCCTGATTTCTCTTTTTCATCCTGACACATGTATGATATTGGCTGTGAGTCAATTGAGGGGCTCTGAGAATGGGAAATGCACAGCCCCAGTACTACCCAGGGGTCTGGAATAATCTAGAAAGAGCTCATCCTGTGCACCTCTATCCAAGAGGCACTAGGGCCACCTTAATGAAAAAGCCGAGGATGGGGAGGCCAGAGAGTGACTTGCATTTCCACCAATTGAGAAAGGTGTGAGTTAAATGAAAGAAGCTGTATGAGATGCACAGAGTAAGAGCTGGCATTGGAATGTCTGCTACACCAAAGGAACCAACCCAAATATCAATCACACTAGCTGAGTAAGCTCTTGGCACTTTCCTCCTTCCTTTAACCTCATCTCAGGAAGCCAGAAGCAGTGGGAGTAGGAAGGCAGAGAAAGGTAGAACAAGAAGAGAAAGACAGCCCAGTATCCTGCCCTGCTGGTTTGGGGCCAAGTTGAGAGAAGTTTTGAAATGGGTGGGGGATTACATTTTGATTTTTTATTTCAATTTTTTGGGGGAAATGATGGCATGCCTGAATGTACTTGGAAAGGCAAAGGGTTCTACTGAGACTTTTTGCAGACTTGAGGACAGAAGATTGGCTAGGGAAAGCTTTAAGGACAGTGACATACATATAAAATTAAGTTACTTTCTCTGGAAACCTCAGGCGTGCTTCCCTAGGCTTGAGTCTGAGTAGAACGTGTTAAGGATGTGCTGAAGACAGTAATTCCCACTGCTTTCAGGGTGACCGTGTGTGGCCTGGAGAAGGCAGAGAGCCTTAGGGGTTAATATACCTGCATGGCTTTGGCTGTAGTACAATTATGACTTTCTGTATACACCATTACCTGAACAATATTGGGACCTTGGCTGTTGCTTTTTAAGCAAATTGGTTACAATTAGAAGCAAAAAATTGATTGGGATTGACTAAAACAATGACATATCCAATCCATTGCCTCAGAAACCATAGAAGAAGCAAATAAATCATCTCTCTTGTTTAATCAAGCGTTTCACCAACCCACAAGGAATCTGTTTCTTTAGTTGGAAATGGTATCTTTTTCCATATTATATGTGGAAAATAGTACATACATAATATGTTTGATTCTGTAAAATTGATGTCAGAAATCCGGAAGATCCTTATGGCCTCCAGAGAAATGAGTCAACAAAGGGAATTTGAGGAAGTGGGGAGTGTTGAAAAACTGAAGCAGAAGAGATTTGATCAGTGATTGAGCAAAGGAGCTGTCGATCATTTCTGTTCAGCAAATCAGCTCCCAGCAAATTAGCTCACAACGAATTAGGTCACAGGAAACAAGAACCCAAAGGGTGGTCCTAAGGAAGCTTAAGATTTGAAAGGAGGTGATATAAGGCAGGCGGACCCCAGAGAAAGATGTGGCTGTCATAGAGGCTAGACTCAACTGCCATGTTAGGATGATGGATGAAGACTAGGAGCTTTAGAGAAGGGTAAAAACAGCGTTAATTTGTGGCTGGTGTACATAGCTTCAGCCAAACAAAAACTTCACAGAAATAAAACAGGCAGGACGGGAATGGATCAAGAACAGAGATAGAATTAGGAATCATGGAAAACTGCAAAAAAAAAAAAAAAAAAAGGTAAAGGAGAGGCTGAAGCGCATACATCAGCAGAATGTGTCCCTATCACCTAAGGAATCAGAAGAGGATAGACCTGGCACCCCTGAACAAGAAGTGATGGAAGAGAGCCCCTAGCTGGAGAAGAAGGTGCCCAGAGGGATCCATGTTTACTCAGCTTATCAACTCAAACCTGCTGTGGGGTTGTGAGTCTTTGACTGTCATTTACTGTGGTCATATCAAGGACAAAAGGTAAGGAGTTTTCTTCATGGTAGCAAACAATACTTGATGACTATAATTTAAGAAACTTGAACTGCTTTTGCCCAACTATTTCTACATTTGTGGGGTGTGTGTGTGTGTGTGTGTGTGTTTGTGTGTGTGACATGTATGTGTGTGTGTGTGCATGTGTTTTCCTTTTGAAAATGTTAGTGCAGGTCTTGACTAAGCTTAGACTTAAGGGTCAATAAATTTCTCTATGAATTGATCAATGGAGAAATCCGGGAGTTTATAGCACTTTGGTAAGGGAGATAAAATAGTTTCAGCATACCTGCCCATTCCCTTTCCATGAACACAAGACTGAAGCTGGAGTTTGAGAAAAAGCTACTGATGGAAAGCTTGAAAAATGGTCTCTAACAATTTGAAATCTGGAGCCAAGCCAACATTCTTAAAGATAATAACAGACCAGGAGGCAGTTGGCAGAAATTTAGCATCCCCCGTGTGTGTGTGTGTGTGTGTGTGTGTGTGTGTTTGTGTGTGTGTGTGTGTTTAAGTTGGGTAGCCAAAGGAATGTAGTTAATGTTTACTGTGTGCCAGTCTTCTAAAATTCCTTAGGTAGACTATTTCATTATAACTTAATTTATCCTTCAGTATCCCTAAAGGAGGTAGTTTGACTCCTGTTTTACACATGGGGAAACTGAGGTACAAAGGGCATACCTAATTTGCTCATGGTTGAGAGCTGACCCCAAGCCTACATTCTTTCTGGGTTTAGGGAAGACCTGGTATGACCTCACACGGTATCGAAGCAGATCAGTTCAGTCTCCATTTGGAAAGTGTGGGAGGGTAAAGTAAAGGTGTTTAGGGGAAGTCATTTAGGATCTCTCAGCTGATCAACAAGTGATATTAGTTTGTTCCTTTATTTCAGCCTGTGGTTTTGTCCTCAGATGGACAATTCCTCTCTGAGAAGGAAAGAGGGGTAGTAGGAGGCAAGCAACCCACATGGAAACAGGAGCTGTGGAGTTGGCATTGGTATAGACATTTCACTTTCATCTAGAATTACATTGGCTTATTTTTTAAAAATAAAATTAATACAAATTTTAAAATTTGTAAAGATGAATTACAGTAACTTAGATAATTTTGCTGAGGCAAGGAGGCTATGAAATTGGAACCATTTGCCAAGATAGGGAATACATTTGATTTCCTTCCTAAAGGAATCCTAAAATGAAAACAGTCTGGTTTGTGTATTTCCCAGATCAAGGTGGAGTCTAGGTAAGATAATACAATAAGTGAAGGGTATGCTGACCCAGAATACAGGAGAACAAGTGTAGCCCTGTGTCGAAAACTCTCAGTCTTGGTTTCCCTTCTGTAAAATAAACCTGCTGTGTTATATCTAAAGTTCTTCCAATGGAAAGAATCTTCTTTGCAAGTTGGTTGCAAAGAACACACATAACAAGTATTTCTGAGCAAAAGGATAGCGAAAACTTTTCCATGTACAGCTTTCCAGTGTGTATCTGGCTATACCTCTCACTAGCTGCAGTGCAGAAGCCCAAAGAAGGAGCCCACCTTCTTTATGAAATGGTATGTGGAATTGCTGCCCTTGGATGGAGGCGATCAGTGGCTACAAGGTATTGGTGAGAGTGCATCTTCCTAGAAAGGCTTCCCTCCTAGCATGAACAAAGAACTTGTGAAACCAGAGTTCTGAAATGAGACTAAATTCCCTGCTTTGCCAATTTCCTCTGGGATTTTTGTCTTAGAGTAAAATCCTTGGAAAATCATGGAAAGGAAGAATAAATGGAGCAGGATTTATTTAAACTGAGAAGAGATAGATACCTCCTGCCATGTGGAAGGGGACCTGAGAGCAGAAAACCTCATTTTGGTGTACCAGCTTATGAGTTTATATATGGTTCTGGGTCAGAGCATGGAGCAAAATCTATGTAAAATAGGTATTGAAACAAGGTATCCTGGCTACCATCGTGCTGTCTATAACCCATCCTCCTTTTAGTAACTTCTATCTGGGTTCATCCCCACCTTCAGTTTTCCACCTCTGGGACAAAAGAGTTGGCTGGAGGTGTTCCCACAGGTGAGCCTCAAGGTCTTTTACATTTGAAATAGGCCTTGATATGGTGCTCATTAATAAGTCTACTAGTTGGCCTCCAGGTGATGTTGAATGGGGCCCATTATCCTGACTGCCTGGTCATTTTACTATTTATTCTTTTTTATCCTCACTTGGAGAAACACTGGGAGAGTGAGCCCTTTGATAGAATTCTGGAGGAATATTCATGGAAAACCAAATCTCCCTCTGTGGGAGAAGTCTACCCAAGCACCGTATTCATGAATCTCTGTGTTGCAAATGGGGAGCAGCAGCAGTTTTCTTCTGTCTCCTGTGTGTATTTCATCAACAGGCCAGAAACGGATCAGAAAGCCTCAAAACGCTGCCCAGTTTAGTCCTGCCTGTAAGGACTCCAGATCATGAAGCCAAGTTCAGCCTGACCAGAGCTGTACAGGAAGACCTGGTTTACAACACAGTGCTGAGCTTCTTGGGTAAAAAACGAGGCCCTTTCTTTTTCTCACACATGGATTTCTTAGGGGTGTGGGGAAGGCTCTCAGGATTGAATGTTTTCTATCTGCCATTTCTCTGCAGCTTGGCTATTCCCTGCTGTTATCTTTGGCTCTGTTGCTATGGGCGGGAATATTTTTTGTCCTGGCTTAATAACTGCTTGGCTGCCAGAGGCACTCATTTCTCATTGTATTGGTGGAGGATTAGCAGAGAAGTTTGGGAGATATTTCCTGTATTAAGCAGCAGGGGAGAGCTTGCTGGGCCTGTGCCTTCTTTTGAAATAGCGTCACACTCCCCCCCCCCCCCCAATACTTTCACCCTTGGAATGTGCTGAGGCCAGTTATTTGCATCCAGGGCAGCTGCTCCTCCCTGACACTTTGCAGATCTGCATCCCTTTTCCAGGTGCCCTTGTATAAACACTTCTTGGGGAGGCTATAGTGAGTCCCAGACAATCACCTCACTGGGATTTTTCTTTTTTCTTTTATATTATACATTTTATTATTACATTTTTTTTAACATTTAGGGATCAACAGTATACTGCATCACCACCTTAATTGTCTTTAAACCTATTTCATACTTCAGAATCTGTCAAAATTGACTCATGGCCCGTCTCTCAGAGCTACCACTTCCTCTACAGTTAATTTAAACTGGGTGATGCTTAGATACATGTTTAAAACTATAAACTAATGATTTAATAGATTTTTTGGTGCCCTTGTATCTGTTAGGATAATTCTCAAAAGATTGAGACAAGCTATTTAGAAAAGTTACCAAAGAAGGACAAAAATCTGAGAAGTTTTGGTTCTTGAGTGGATTGAGATAAGGAAATATAAATGCTGAAACTGACTGAAAGTCATTCTGAAGAGTTTGGTGTCATCACACTGGAAGTGACACAGACTGATCTCAGAGCAGGAATCTCTGGATTTGAATTTTGAGCTATGGCTTAAAAGCTCTGTGAACTTGGACAAGTCACTTTACCTCTCTTTTCTGTCATTTTATCATCTGTGATATGGAGATGACTATGACCCAGAAAATGTTGAAAGGGATTAAGATGAGAACACCTCATGAACTATAAATAAAGAACTAGTAAGATTAGATGTATATGAATACATTTGCAAACTGCAAAGAACTGCACAAGTGTAAATAACTATAAACAGTGAAAACTTAGAAAAATTTTAATATACTTCAAAAGCTGAAAGAGCCATTTCCTCTTTAGGTGGGTATCTAGCCTTCTTTTAAAATATGATCAGAATCCCCTTCCTAAATCAAAGGAATCCCTCACAGAATGTGGCAGAGCCCACTTTTCACCTTTGGGCATTTGTCCCCAGACCAGGGCATGGACCTAGGGCATGCTGATCCAGATTTGCCCAAAGAGACTGTCCCAAATCCATCCTGGCTGCAGGCTGACGGAGAGCCCACACTGTCTGGTGTCTGGACATGACAGTGGTAGCAGATGTACAGCTGGTTCTCTCTGTTCTCTCTCTCTGATGTGGCTGCTGTAGTCCTTGGGTAGCACTCATGCCTTCCATCTGTGGACAGTTTGGGTACTATTCCTGACTTTCTTCTTATCTCATCTGGCTTTGTAGACAACTCAGAGATTCCCTGAGCTACTCGATATCCCTTTCTAGAGAACTTTACTATGGGAAATTTCAAACATAAAAAACATTGAAGGGAGTACCTTGATGAGCCCCTTGGTAACTATCATCACCCAGTTATCAACATTTGGCACATTATGTCACCTGTTTTCAGCCCTTCCCATCACAACTTATTTTGTTTTAATTTGCTTTGGTTGAAGTATTTAAAAGTAAGCCCAAGATATACTGTTTCACCCCTAAACATCTCAGAGCGCATTTTTAACTGATAAGGACTATTTCTTAACATAATCATCATTCCATTTTCCACCCAATGGAATTAACAGTAATGCTGCTATCTGGTTTTGCTCAGATCAGCAAGAAATGCTTTCTGTGCTCATGAGAACTTAATACACACTCACTCCCTGCCCCAGTTCCACCATAAAGCAGAAGCTTTACCCTCTGAAAATATTGACAAAATGACTTCCACTGCTCTTTACCCTTCACTTTGTGAAGGAATGACTTATCTGATGACTGAATTGGGAATAATGAGCTATACTGCATGAGACTGTGTCTCTTAGGGAATCTGTCTACAGAGGAGCTCTATTCTGCCCAGCTCCAACTTCTGTTGGCTGAGCACGTGGTCTAGGCTTAGGCCCTCTTTGCAGTCAAAGTCTGAAGGCATATCTCTTTCTTACGGAGTGTAAGAAACTGATTTCAGGCTAATATATCTACTCTGTAAACACAAATTGCCCCCACCTGACATGTCCCAACATGGGATCTTAGAGGAAAGGGCTGAAAAGCTTGGTTTGGCCATTTATTTATACTACACTCTCTAACTGTATCAGCAAAACTGATATATTCATCTCTTCCTTTGTTTGATTTAAGTTTTGGTCTCCATTGTTCTAAGTGCAGTAAACAATAAAGAAACAGGAATATTATTTATAAGCTGTTGATTCTAACATATTTAAATTAATTATAGAACCATTAATATAAACCAAAAACACTACTAAGGACTTGTGACTCAAGAATATAGCAACATTCCTGCCCCAAGGAGCCACTGATAGGGTGAAAGGCCTGGAAATCATCATAAAGCAGAGGTAACTCCTTGGGGTTTGGGAGCACAGAGTCCAAGAGGGGTCCTCAGAGCGGGCGGCTGGACAAGAAAGATTTCCTCAGAAGGAGCGAGATAGAGAAAAACTGTGTATAAAAGCCAAGAGAGAGGGCTTGGTGGAGTTGATAAGACAGACAAGGGTCAGGTACTAAAGAGGCACATGTGTTCACCAAAGAAACGTGAACCCCATTTTAAAAGTAAGAGGTGACATTAAGGTTTACAAACAGTGGTAATTTTTAAAAGCAGAAATGTGGAGAATGAATTATAGAGAGTAGGAGAATACTCAGGAGCCTACTAACAACTGGCCAAGATTCCCCAAGCACAAGGTTAAGGATGGACTTGAGATGTTCTGGTGAGTTAGTTTAAAGAAAGAAAAGAGAGAAAGAAGTTGTGTGTGAATATACATAGAATACAGTAAGGTTTTCTAGAGAAAATTAGAAGTAGAAGAAAAAGTGAAAATAAGGATAATATAGGGACAAAATGGAGCCAGGAGTGAGATGAGCACATTAGAGTGTGGTGTGTGTGAGTGTGTGTGTGTGTGTGTGTGTGTTGACAAGGACTGATGAGGGACAAGGGAGAGAATAACAGATTTCTTGGTGTTGCAATAAACACCAACAGGGAAAAATCCTTTACATACATACACCATAATGCCTAGGAGATAAAAGTAAACCAATGTTTTAGGAAAATAAGTGTCACTAAATCAAAAGCCAAACAAATTTCTGCTGCGAGTCCTTACAAGGAGGACACAAGTAATGCAAATAATAATATCTTTCTTCATACTCTTATCGTAAACACAGTCATCTTCACTATCCAATCTGACTTTTTCTTCAGTAAACTGAAGAAAAGCCTTATTCAAATCATAGCACCCCACATCCCCCATGGCATGCAGGGATTTTTGAACTACTCCATGACCCACAGTAAACTGAAGAAAAAGTCAGGGCTAAGCAATGGCAGCTGCAGCAGAAATGAAATCCAGTACCTCAGCATGTGAGGAAGGCCCAGCTTCTGCAGTGTATTCTTGTTCTTGTCTTCCTCACAAATTCTCTCCTATCTGAGCAGTGGAGATTAGGGGAAACACTTAAACTGCCAATTAAGGGTTTTGTTTTGTTTTTTATTAACTGCTTTATTGGGATATGATCCACATGCCATACAATTCCCCTAAGGTACTCAATATTTATTAAATATATTCACAGAGTCAAGGTCACCACTCTCAAGTTTACAACAGTTTCATCACCTGATCAAGAATCCCTCTACATATTAGCAGTTAAGTACACTGCTTTTCCTCCTTCTTCCAACCCTATTTCTATAAATTTGCCTATTCTGGTCATTTTATGTATATTGGCTCATACAATATGTATGGGTTTTAATGACTTTCTTCTTCAATTTGCCCTTTCAGATAAAGGCGCAGCTTTTCGTGTTTCCTTTCATCACTTTGCCTCTCCCAAGAAGGTGTCAGAGTGGATCGATGCCTCTGGATTGGTGCTGGAAGGTCTGATGGTGGGCTCTGTGCTATCTGGCTACTTAGTAGTGTTCCTTACCTACCTGGTCCATGGACACTGAGCTGCCTTTCACTGTTGCCATCTATTCTGCTCACTTGACTTATATGGGTCCAGAGAGACCCCCATCTGACCAGCTCACTTTGACTCTGTTGTCTCGTTGTTGACCCTTCTGACACTCACTCAACATTGTTCATCTTTCCACTGTTCTGATCCACTTTCCACTGTTCTTTCCACTGTGTCTTAGATTGTTTAATGTTGCTATAATAGAATACCCAAGACTGGCTAATTTATAAAGAAAAGAAATTATTATGGCTTAGTTCTGGAATATATGTCCCCTAAAAGCTCATATATTGAAGGCTTAGTCCCCAGTGCAGCAATGTCCAGAGGTGGGGCTTTGGGGAAGTGATTGTCACAGTGATTGTCACAAGAGTTCTGACCACCTCAGTGGATTAGTTCATTGATTGCTGAATGGATTACTGGGAGGTGATGGAAACTGCAGTGGGGGGGAGGGGGGGCATGGTTGGATGTAGGTCACAGGGGCCATACTCTTAGTGACTATATCTTATCCTTGGCCCCTTCTTCTCTCTCTCTGCCTCCCAGATTCCATGAGCTGAGCAACTTTCCTCTGAAATACTGGTCTGCCTCACCTCAGTCTCAGAACAATGGAGGCAGGGGATCATGGGTTGAAACCTCTGGTACTGTGAGCCCACCTCCAAGCTGTTTGTGCCAGGTATTTTGGACACAGCAACAAAAAGCTGACTAACACAGTTTATTCACAGTTCTGGAGGCAGGGAAGTTCAAGATCTGGTGGTTTTACCTGGAAAGGGCCTCGTGCTGTGTTGTGACATGGCACATGGCACCACTGGAAGGCCTATCTATGTGAGTTAGAATAAGAGGGCTAACACCTGTGACAGCTAACCCATTTCCACAAAGAAAAGTTCGTCCATTCATGAGGGTGGATCCCTCATGACCCCAAGTGCCTATTAAAGTCCCCATAACCTCTCAACACTGACCCTGGGAACAAGCTCCAACATGAGTTTTGGTGGAGAAAAACCTTATTCAAATCATAGCACCCCACGTCCCCCATGGCATGCAGGGAGTTTTGGACTATTCCATGTCCCACAGGAATAACAGAAGCTCAGGAGCCATACTGCTATGGCTCCCCATGCTGGCACAAGGCTATCAGGTATAGCCACCTCCTCCTTGGGCTCTGAGTGAGGCATGGGCTCAGCCTTGTATGCTTGATACCTCTCCTTCAGTTCCTCAGTGCACTGCCCTCCCGGAGCCAGGTGAGGAACGAGCAGGACACATGAGTCTTAGGCTCACTTCCCCATCTTATTCCTTTCTGGACCACAGGGTTGGGCTTTCTCTCCGCTCCTGGGGTCTAAGTATTCCTGTAGGATATGGATTCTGAGACCTCTCTAGACTGGACTTAAGAGTAAATTCAATATTTTTAGATATACCACATTTTCTTTATCCAGGCATCCATTGATAGAGATGTAGGTGGCTTCCATATCTGGACTATCATGAACAGTGCTTCCATGAACATGGGAGTAGAGGTATCACCAAGATTCTCATCTCTCTTCCTTTGAATATATACCCAGAAGTAAGGATTTTACTCAGCTTTGAAAAGGAGGAACCCCTGACGTTTGCAGCAATATGAACGAAGCTGGAACATTATGCTAAGTGAAAAAAAAGCCAGGCAAAGAAAACTACTGCATTACCTCACTCATATGTAGAATCTAAAATAATCAGACTCAAAATCAGAGAGTAGAAGCTGGAGGAAGATGGAAATGCAGAAATGTTGATCGAGGGGTACAAAATTTCAGTTATGGAAAATGAAGAAGTTCTGAGACTCAATATGTAGCATGGCGACTATAGTTGATAATACTGATCCATGAGCTTGAAATGAAATTTGCTAAGGGGGTAGCTTCTTCTTCTTCTTTTTTTTTTTTTTTTTTTTTTTTTTTTTTTTTTTTTTGGTGATACTGGGGATTGAATCCAGAGCCTTGAACAAGCTAGGCAAGTGCTCTATCATTGGATTACATCCCCAGACCTAATGGGATGTCTCCTAAATGCACACACACATACACCACAAAGTAAAAAAAGAAAAAGAAACAAATGGTAACTATTATATAATGTATATGTTAATTATCTTGATTACTGTGATGATTTCATAATATACATATATCAAAACATCAAGTACTATGCCTTAAATATATATAGTTTTTATCATTTCTACCATAATAAAACCGAAGAATATCAATGTTTACCCCCAATAGGCCTGGCTCTTGATATGTTACTAGTATTTTAAGGAATTTTTTTAAAATGCTGTCAATAAAATGCTATTTGAAGACTAATATTATTAAGGACTGAGAAATCCTATTTTGGTAATCAAATCATAAAATTTGAACTTCTTTGCTCCATTTTCCTGTTGAATAAAAATTCCCTTCTCACTACCATTCTTGACATAGATGCTCATTGTTGGCTGAACTGGGAGAAATCATGTACATGGAAATGTGAAAAAGAAAAACAAAAAATATTACTTCTGCAGCAAACCTCCTAAAGGTGGGAAAGGGAGCAAACTCTGAGAAATGGAAAGCCCGAGGCTTTGTACAGATGCACGGGGGTGACAGATGAGTCAAAAATGACTTCTGGACTTAGACTTAGGTGAGTCTAATTCTGTAAGTCAGAATTAGAAATGCAAAAAGAAGGTTGCGGGGGAAAGGTGGTCTACGTTGGAGCTTGTTAGGATTGGTACATTTCAGGGGAGGGCTTAGTCAGCACCTGGAATCATGAACTCCCAAGAGGATGGGATGGAGATAAAAGATTTAGGGCCCAGTGCATCTCATGTGGTCACTGAAGAGTGTTTAGAGATTTCCCTAGGGGGTGGCTGCAGATTACAACCTAGGAAATATCAGGGCTTCAGGAGTTGTTTTGAGTTTGCACAAAAACCTCCCAAATTGTTCCTGGTGTTAAGAACGTGGTTAAGTAGTGTGGAAATAAATCATATCTGACATTGTGTTTGTCCATCTTGTACTCCCAGTGCACATAGATACATGTATTCAGCATTTCCCCATGGCTTCTGAACTGTGCAAATCCCTACATTCAAGGTCCTCCATAATTTGATCTAATATTTTTATCTAAGTTTTTTTATTTGTTCTTTTTAGTTGTACATGACAGTGGAAGGTATGTTAACATATCATACATATATGGAGTATAACTTCCCATTTTGTGGTTCTACATGATGTGCAGTTGCACTGGTTATGTATTCGTATATAAGCACAGGAAAGTTATGTGCAATTTATTCTACACTCTTTCCCCTTCTCATCTCTATTCCTCCTCATTCCATCCTGTCCAATCTGGGGTTCACTAAATTAATTTTTTTTGTAATTATATCTCCCAATACTTTCCAATACATAGTGTGTGGTCCAATCAAATAATAGAACTTTTCTGCAGTCCTAAAAAGCCCTATGACTATGCCTTTGCTTTCAGTTTTTTTTTTTTTTTCTGGAATACCTTTCACCTCACACATTTTCTCCTTTTAAAGAGACCTGCTCAGATATTACTTTTATGAATATTTTCCTGATTAAACATTTGCTATCGTTTGTCAGAAACATAACGTTGCAAAGCACTACGGTAAACAGTACAGAGGACACTGATATGAATGGGGCTCAGTATCCACTCTCAAACATTATATTCCAGCCATTTGTGTAACTTACCAACTCTATCATAAAGGAATTGGTATTTCTCAAAGATTTGCCCACTTATTCCTACAAAATTTTAAAAATTCAAATTCAAGGCCACACCCCAAATCACTATTAGAGAAGCTCTATTGTAAAGCTCAGAAATGTGCATTTTAAACCAAGCCCTCAGCAACCTTTTTGCCATAAGAAGAACATTTGTCTTCCCTCCCAATAGGATAGTTGTGAAGGTAAAGTTAAGACATATGTGTGACAGTGCTTTGAAAGCAGGAAGGCACCATTTCAAAGGACTATGATAGGTATTATTCCATCAAAGTACATTATTCACTTTTGTTGAAAAATTCTACACCATTTGTCCCTGACCTTAAGCTCATCCCTGCCCTTCCTGAGAATAAACATGAAGTTTTTAAGGGATTCATCCTCTGTGGGATGGAGAGGCACAAGCAAGCTTCAGGTATTACTCATATCTTTACTGTAAACTCCACCCTGGATCTGAAAGCTTGGTTTTACTCCAGTTCCTTACATCACCACCAACTTCGATTAGGAGCCATAAAAAATAGGAAGCATCTGGAGGTCAAGTTCACAGTTGGCTTTGGGCAAGATGGTGAAGGGAGCAGGTTTTGTCTGTGGTGCCTCCTGCGTTCATCTGCTTTTCACTGTTCCTCATCCCCACCTTAGGGGTCTTCTTTAGTCAAGACAACTCCTTGTTTGGGGAAGAGCTGATGGATGTTGGTAACTAGATAGATTACCTTCTCAGATTTCATTTAGAAATGGGGTAGAAGATAAAATGGTGCTTAACCCAAAGAATGAATAACTAAGGATGGAATTGTGAGCAACAGTTACCAGCAAGTAATGGATATTTTCAATTGTAGAATAATTTTAGTTGTGGAATTTTCTGTAGCCCCTACATGATTATTCACAGGTGGCCTCCTCCTACTACAGGTCTTGCTAGAACCACCCTTGGTGGCAAGGAGCATTGTTATTCACCTGGCACCAAGAGGACATCACCCGATGGGCAAATTACCAGAACTCATTAAAATCCAGGAAAGAGAAAGACCATAACACAGTTACTGTGTACACATCTCAGACTGTGGCTAATCTGAGCTTGGGAAACTTTCTGGGCTGGCCTTTCTCCAAGGCCACAGAGCACTGAAGTTAATCCTCCAGGACTCGGATGGTATCCAGAATCCTCTCCGGTATGGGCCGAATGCCTGTTTCTAGGCACAGTCAGCCTCCACCCATATCCTGATGGGACACAGTAGGGGAAAGGCCATGTGAAAAAGGGAGATACTTCAGTACAATGGGAAGACTCCTGGGCTGACCTTCAGGGAAACCTGGGATCCGGACCCAATATTGCCACTAGTAAATTGGGGCACCAGAGGCAGGTGACTGAGCCAGCCAGAGGTGCCATTTCCTTAGATCAAGTTCCTCAGATTTAAGAAACATCCCAGTTCTGAGACTTAATTATCTTATGCACAAAAATAAACAACGGAACTTTACAGATGCAAATACACTATCTTGAAGAGACAGGTTGTTAGGGGACCAGAAAGTCAACATTTATACAACATTTTGTGCCTTTGCTGCCCACAGTGCAGTGCCTGGAACTGCAGCCATTTGGCCCCCTTGAAATTGGTACAGAATTCCAGGGTCAGAATCTGCCTGTTTTACAAGATGCCCAAGTGATCCCACTGAATATCAGTGTTTGAGAAGGACCATTTAATGTGCACAGCACCTCTCTGAGCATTCCAGCACCTCATGGCTTTCACTGGCTCCTCACAACTGCAGAATAAGCCCACTTCCTTAGGAAATTCAAGGGCCTCTGAAATCTGGTCCCTACTTCCCTCTCCAGCCTCATTTCCTAGGGGGTCTCCCTTTACTCTCCCAAATGCAGTTATGAAGACTTCTTGTACTGCACCCAGCAGGCCAACACACCATCAGACATGAAATTCCCTTGGCCTCAGATATTCTCCACAGAACCATACCCCTTCATTGACTCCTGATTTATTCCTTCAACAAATATTTACAGAGCAGTTTCTATACCAAGCATCCTTTTTGGGATGGACCTCATGGAGCTTCCAAGCCCTCCAAATTTCAGCTTACACTCATCAAAGATGGTTTCCCCGACCCTAGAGAAAGTGGAATCCCTGTCTTCTATACTCAAAGTCACCTGCACATCTCCTTTTGTAACATGTCATACTATAGTTACTAGCTTGATGTCTTCTCTTCCTGTTGGACTAATACCCCATGAGGCAAGTCCAGGTGTCTCATCTTCCAATGCCAAACCCACTAGTTGGTATAGAGAAGCACTCCATGCATGCCAAGGGTTCCCAAGGCAGGAGAGACATGGCTGAGATACAAAGAAAGAATCAGAACTAAACAATGGATTCCATTGGCTCTAATAACAGACATGAGAGAACTTTTATCTCTGACTTCTTTGATCTAAGCTTGCAGTGAGATTATTTGTGCCCACAGTGTACACCCTTTGGAGAAAGGAAAACTAAATTGGCATCCACCATGGAATTCCTGTCTGCCCAGATCTGACTGGGATCCAGGCCTCACTTTCCCTTCCAAGGAAAAATACTGTGACTTTAGGTGGAGGCAGGAGGAATGCCAGCAGGGGCTGGGACATGTGCTGTTGTCCTCAGCCCCTGTGGGAGGTACTGCAGCATGCTTCCCAGGCAAGGGAGTGAAAGGGGACCAAGTAGAAGCTTGAGTGGGATAAGCTGGTCCTTGCAGAAGGACCGAAAGCTGAGGTAGGAGTCCATGAGCAAAGAGAGAAGTTCAGGGATTTGTAAAATCAGAGTTTACTTAGGGACAGTGGAACATAGACATTTATTTTAAACTGTATGAATGGGGGAAATCAATAAAAGAGAAATTTATTTTTCTTTCTCTTTGTAGATGGCTACAGAAAGCTATGGAAATCTGAGGAAATTCACTGGAGATCAGAGCCCCCAGTGGCTGACTTTCAGAACCCCTTGACTTCATTGCTTAGGATCAAAAGGTAAGTACCAAATAATAGGGTTAGTGCTTTTTTTCAATGTCCTCTTACCCTCTTCTCATCTTTCTTCATCAATTTCTGAGGCAGGAAGTCTCTTGATGTTGATCACAGGTTGACCAAGAAGCAGATCGAGGCTCTGACAGCTTCATTGACCTCTCCAAGAACACACGAACACTCCTGACTTCCAGCCCAGTGTGGTTTCCATTAGATGCTCATGCCATGGCATGAAATCCAAAATGAGGTCAGGCAGATCACTCTGTAACCTGAAACTCTGAGCAAAATTGGTTAGGACTGCAGCTGACAAACATAGCCTGATACAGCCCTGTGAGGAAGGGAAGCAAAAGGTCACACCAAGTCAGAACAGAGGCTATACCTCAGAAAACCTTTGGATAAATCCCTTCTCCAATACTAATAGCCCTCATGTAAACTAACCAAAATAAAGTGAACCCAATTTTTTGCATATTTGAATTGTTTTATATTATTTTAGTTAGAGTGCTTGGGAGTCAGAAGCAATTTCAGGAAATGCTGCCCATGTCACCAGCTGGAATCCAGGTTCCTATTGTCAAAGAGCCCTCAGACTCATATACATGTATTTGCATGCACAAACACACAAGTTCTCACACATGCCTACACTTACACATAAACTCATGTGCACACTAACATTCCCCACATACTGTCACACACACCTACTTTCTTAATTACACACTCACGTATCTTCCTACACTTACATATAGTCATACAAACACACAAACTCCCA